AAACATTTTATTTATATTCGGGTGAGTACTTTAGGACTCCTTTACTTCACCGGTGGCTAACATGGCTGAAATATTTCCGAGGTGACGTTAAATTTTAACTAACTCACTCACTCACCGGCGGCTAACGTGCTACCTCGATTAATAACCTTGTGGTTATTGTTTAAGCTGGCAGTGACGTTGCGACGCGACACCCTGTGTCCTGTATACCAATATTGTATATTTTCTAAAATTGTACGTCTATGTCAAGAAAATATTTTTTTTAGTACTGTTGTTGTTCAGTTCACCGCCTCCGTGGTGTAGTGGTTAATGCGTCCGCCAGGAGAGTGGAAGGTCGCGGGTTCGATCCCCGGCCGCGTCATACCAAAAGACGTAAAAATATGGTACTTGTTGGTCCCTGCCTGGCGCTTGGCATTAATTGGTAAAACAAGGACTGGTCGGCTCGGTGTCAGTATAATGTGTCTGAATGGGGTATTCATGCTCAACTGCGGCATGGTATCTCAGTGAGCTAGCACTATAAAATCAGCTTAAGTCTGGGCTAGTACAAGCAGCCATACATACACACGCGTGGACGTCGTAAGAGCGAAATATTCTCAAGTACGACGTTAAACCCTATTTCACCTCACCTTAAATCAGTTCATAAAACTGTAGTGCACATACAACAATTCAACAAATCTTAGTCCTGATAAGCTTGGCGCCTTCGCAACACGTGAACATGTGACGCACAGTTTTTCAGATGTTGTGTGAAGCAGGTGTTTTGCACATGCATTTTAGAATGCTAGTTAATGTTCGCTTCTTTGGACCAATATTAAGAAAACTGCCCTTAGATTCAGGTGGTGCTTGACTAATGTCCATGTGTATATCAGTGAGTGTGTGTGAGTGCATACATGTCTGGTCCGTGCCAACCCAATCCTCCATTTTGCAGTGCATCGGTCATTTATATCCATACAATTATGACAAATATTTTGGACACTTCAGAACGTAACCTGAAAGTGTCTTCCCATCATGCAATGTTCGCAAAGCATCTAAGTTGCTCATGAGCGTTGTTATACTAGGGACCCGTGAAGATCCGGGGTAGAATAGGTCTTCAGCAACCCATGCTTGCCACAAAAGGCGACTATACTTGTCGTAAGAGGCGAGTAACGGGATCGGGTGGTCAGGCTCACTGAATTGGTTGACACATGTCATTGGTTCCCAATTGCGCAGATCGATGCTCATGCTGTTGATCACTGGATTGTCTGGTCCAAACTCGATTATTTACAGACCGCCGCTATATAGCTGGAATATTGCTGAGTGCGGCGTAAAACTAAACTCACTCACTCACTGTTATACTAGGCGTATAATTATAGCTGTCGGAATTTTAACAGCTATGCAGTAGTATGCTTCTCGATATGTCAGCTATTATTATTTTACAAATTTCTAGGTTTGTTACTTTATTTTGATTTTATTACCATAATATGGTATATGGTATTTCAAAATTCCATAAATATTCCAAAATCTCGCAGTTTCAACTTTTTTCACGATATTTTTTTCTTGTTACTTTGACTATTTTATCGTAATTTCTATTAATTTCTCGTTAATTGAAATAAAGAGAAATGTCGATTAAAAAGGTCAATTTATGTTACCAAAGAGGACCCAGACTTTCGAATAGTACTATGCCTATACCGTAGTTCATATTTGAATGGAGGGGCGGTGGGGTAGCCTAATGGTTAAAGCGTTGGCTCGTCACGCCGAAGACCCGGGTTCGAATCCCAACATGGGTACAATGTTTGAAGCCCATTTCTGGTATCCCCGGCCGTGATGTTGCTTGAATATTGCTAAAAGCGGCGTAAAACCAAACTCAGTCAGTCAGTCATATTTGAATGGTATTTAGAAGTGATACACATAAGCAGTTTTTATGGATGTCAACGTCTTTATCATGAGGAACACAACGGTTTGGGGTGTATCCTGGTGAAGGAGTAACGATGTGTTCCTCATAATAAAGACGTTGACATCCAGAAAACCTCTTCCTTGTAGTTCATATTGTTTTGTTAGTTTCATGAAACGTATTTGCCAATTGACGTTCCCTGATTGAAAATCTATCTGTACTAAATTAGCATTAACGACAGTAAACTGATTCTCACATAGTTTTTCGAGATTTGGAGTCGCTATAGAATGCGTTCATGAACATGTTTTTCATCCAAGGGCAAAGGGTGAGGATAAGCTGTAACTCACAACTAACCCGAAAGATCGAGGAAGCATTCGCGATCAGCGCAGTGATATTTAAGTTTCTCACACATCTGTTTATGCCAAAAAAGGCAGAACCAACATCATGATTTAAACAGAAAAATATACACTTGCAATGCTTAATCATGTTTGATGTATCCGACATTTTCACTGCCAAAAGCATTTATGAGATATGATAAATGAGAAAACATACCTCCTCTTCTTTTGCAATATTTCAAGATTCGGCGCTGAGCTGTCAAATCGGCTATCCTCTCTAGCGAGTTTACCTATATATATTTGGTTAAACATTGACATCGAGATCGAGTTTCAGAGGCGGAGGACAGCAATAAATGTGTAAATTGACACTGTATTGATACATACCAATACTCGCCAAATCACATATTGACTATGTAATAAATGTATCATGGTCATATCGTCTTCTGAATCCTCCTGTTTACTAATCCAACAGTCATACTCTGCAATAACACCCTTATGTTACTGGCAGTCACCTTCAAAATCATGATATATGTTCTGTTATTATGAAAATGTCAATTGAAAAAATGTCAATATTTAATTTGAATAGTCATATTCAATTTAGCCACACAACATTGCCAAACAGCTGCTTGACATTTCATGTTTTCATTGAAGGGCATTTAGATGTTATGAGCATGAATCAAAGATTTCCCTTGATATCAAATCCTTCAGGTGAGTGACACAGACTGGTTGTGGACTGTGCTATAGACACTTTGAGCAATGTATCAATGGATAATGTGAGTTTTTTATAAGGGTGTACGGGACTGTAAGACCCTTGTAAATTCCGTATTTCCTTCGGCAGCGCCTCAAGATATACGGAACTTACAAGGTTCTGCGCCTCTGTAGATACGGAATTTACAGTCTTACAGTCCCGTACACCCTTTCAAAACACCGTGTGCGAATTTATTACCCTTAAGATGTTTAATTTAGATTATCTTTAAACAACAACATAAAACCATCGGCAGAATGAGACGCAAAACGTTTCGCCATGATTTTTCCTTAACGGTCATAAAGGGGGATGACTCGGGATGGATTAGTTTATGATAAAAAATATCGAATTTGAGGTTATGTTAAACGACAAGTGAAATACAGAAACATTTGATTTTTTTTGATATATGTATTGACACAAACAAATAAGAAATTATGGCAACAATTTTATTACTCTGTTTATACTCATAATTGTATACGCCAACTCTAAAATTTCGAAGCAATCAGCCGTTTGGCAGCCACACTCCATCTAAGATCAAGGTCATTCGTACAACCCGTGTAGTGTCTCATGTGACAGATTTGACCGTGTGTACGGTTCGTACACGCTGGCAAATCCGCCTGCATGGTTTCGTATGCTGTGGATATTAACCAATCATAATTCGACAAATTTATCTTAAGGGTAATAATATGGATTGTTTGTTGTTCAACGCCGCAATATTCCAGCCATATAGCGGGGATATTACCATGAATCAATAACAGTTTATAAGACAAAGTAAGGGGATTCCTGGGAAGCCAGGTAAATGATATAAGCCAGGTAAACCTCGTGCGTAACATGAACGTGGCATGGGTGTTCCATTGAAGGAACGTGTGCGACGGGTGGGCAGGACTCTGTCAGCCAATTCAGTTTCAAATAGTTCGTTTGAATCCTACACGTATATTTGTATAATGTATCTTACACCAACCAGAACGTGTATATATATTGAAATTGTCAATAAATATCTTACAAAACGCAAACGCGACAGACGAAAAGCCAACATCCCGAACTCTATTGGGCGTTTTGTTTATAGTGGTTTTTTTTTTCTCTGATTGAGCTTTGACCGCTTTCAACGTTGGTCGTGCTGTCTCGGACCCATTGGGGTACTTTTACATAGATGTGCAGCATTTCATTTCGTTTAAAATAGTTTTTCTTTAACACTGTTATGGTTTTGATATGTTTAATCCAGTGTCAAAATCGACCCGTTATTATGTTAATAAAGTTAAAGTTCTAGTATTACAAACATGAATATATAATATCTGTTTAGATAAATAATATAAAGTGGCATTGTTAATTCATGTAATCAAGAAGGACATTCAACATATTTTGAAATATACTATTCCAAAAAAAAGAAACGCATAACCCAGAAATATGTTGCCAAAATGTTGTATTTTCAAACATGTATAACTCGTGCACAAATTGACTTTATGAAATGAATTATTACATCAGTTTAGAAGAAGGTAATGTCTATACAACCAAGTGGATAATTTTAGATAACGGAGACGTTGAGCGCGATGGTGACCACGTAGCATGGTCACGACGTCGGGTCTCCTGCCTCTCAGTCCAATCTCCCTCAACCTTTTCCGTACAGTTTGACCTGATACCCTTCGAAGTCCAGGCACCCTGGTTGCTGTGCTTTCACACGTGGCAGTACGATCACGGAAATGTAGTACCCGGATGTACCGATCTTGGGCTGCAGTGGTGACTCGAGGTCTGCATGTACGGGGACCGTCATTTGTTATACCTGGTTGACTAACATTCAGAGGCCTGGCAACAGAACATTGTTAATCTCCAGCGTGCATTCTTTCAATGGCGATATTCCGTGTCGCAGCGTCAAGACTTGGCGTAGTGATTTGACCTTGAAATTCCTTCAAAACAAATGCCGATTTCCGAAAGTAATCTGGATTTTTATAGTCAGTCAATGCATGCTCTTTGCTGCACAATTTCAACTGGACGGTGATTTCTGTTGCGTTGTGGCGATGCCTTTTTAATTCTCCATCAAAATCAACATTTTCAGGTAAAGTCGACTATTCACTTGTGCAATTGTGTAAAACTATGTTATCAACACTTTTGTTACATATTTTGACGATTGTTGGAACGCAATAGGTAATTTATAGATATTTAAAAATACAAAACGCCTATGTATATAATAAAGATTAGTAATGTATAAATACATTGCTCTAAAGGTCGGGGACTCATTAAGGTAGGTGGTACTTCACACCAAAATAGTATCACATTTCTTAGTTGAGAGTACTTAGGTGTGGACTAGCATCACATCATGATGAATAGAATCAATTTGTTCTCGAATTGCTTTTACAAGCTCCATCATAAATTATATAGCCGTAATCCAGTTTAGAGCGGATAAGTGCTCTTTACACTTGGATGAGGGTGTTTTAACCGCCACCACATATGAAATTGGAAACAACTTTTATTATATCCAGCGTCTTCAGACATTAATTCCTGACCAAAAAGTTATTCTGCTGATGCAAATACCCTTGAATGATTGGCAATTGTCTTGGCGCTGTTAACCGTTTGTTATTTAATGCGAGGTTTCCTTACATCACCATACAAATCACGTTGTTCTTTAACAATGTATTGCACGTTATGATTGTTTCAGCACCCAATCATTGTGACATGAAGCCCCGTCAAAAATGGAGGTACCTGTACTAATAGTGAGTGAGTGAGTTAACATTTAACGTCACATTGGCAATATCTCAGCCACATCGTGACGAAAATGTGTCTTGAGGTGCTTGCTTAAAAAACGTGCGATGTGATCTTTAACCAGAGATAGCATCAACTGAATTCCTATAAGACAGACGGAATTTAGAATCCTACACTCGGCAGTTTTTCATTTTAAACATCATGCCTTCAAGTGAAGTCATCTGAATGTTACATGCTTGTTCTTCACACAATGTGTACACCTTTGACAGAATATTGAGTGAGCTAATATTAAACGTCACATCGGCAATATCTCAGCCATATAGTGACGAAAACAGTTTATACAATAAAAAATGAAAACATTTTGGACAGTAAAACCTGTCAACGATGGACAGTAAAAATACTAGAGTATCACATATATGAACATAAAACTAGCATGTACAACTAAAAGATTTTAATCAAAGAAGACAATCCAATATATAACGCAGGCTATAGATCACCAACAACTAAAGGTAGATCGCTATAATAGGAACCATGGGGACTTACATTACTTTTGCTACCTGCATGGACCCTAGCTGGATTTACACCATCCCTTTAGCCCTGGCGATGGTAGGAAGATTTAGCCGACATTACAATCACAAAAATACTACGATTAAAAAGTATGGTTGAGCGAAATTGACTTTGAAAGTGTGTGGGACTTACGTATCCTCTCAGGAGGACAATAATTTTACAATATTTTAACCCCCTTCGAGGATACAGCCACTAACAATCGCAGCTGCTTGTTGACACTACCATGTTTAAAATACTATTTATCTATTTACAAAACATATCATTCAAAATTTATGCAATAATTCTATTTCCTTTAAAAATTCAATTATTAAATGATAATTAACATATTAAAAAATATCCTTAACTGCTTTGACATTAAAACCTGTACTAATAATGGATTCAGCTTCACTTGTAATTACATAAATGGATATTCGGAGATCATTCCAACGACCAGCCTTTCAAGAAGTCAGATATTGATGAAATCTGGGAAGTGTCAGTCATCGTTATGAATTTCATTTATTACTGTTGCATGTCGATATTTATTTGAAACAATCAGTTAACCGGTTTCGGATTCAGTGTGAAACAACAAAGAATTCCTTGAAAGAATTTTTCACATGCAGGATTTGTCTAGCTGTTCTAGAACCATCCAAAATATTCTTGACCTCCACCCAAAGTATTTTTAACTATCACACCACTTCCCTCTAACCGAATCCAAACTGAGCGAGTGAATACATATGGTTTTACGGCGTCTTGAGCCATATTCCAGCAATATCACAGCGGGGAACGCCAGAAATGGGCTTCACACATTGTATTGAGACCCTTTATCATTACATAGCTTCTGTTTGTCTGTCCAAATACGAAATGCCATGATCCCGTCCATAAGTATAACAGGGTATTTTGAGGTTATTATGGTAGGGGAATCATCTAGATTTCCCATGTTGTGTTACTGTATCATATTGTGAAATAATTCTGGGGGAGGAGACGAGTGGTTGTTTTTAAACGCTGAACTACCAATATTCTACCTAACTAGTTATTGTCTGTAAAATAATCGATCCCAGAAATCAACAGAATCCATCTGCGCAACTGCGATACGATGATATGTATCAATACAGGGTAGCAAGCCTGACAATCAGATCCCTAATCACCCTTTACAAGCTCGGGTTGCTGAAGATCAGTTCAAACCCGGGTTCATCACTGTATGTCATTGCAATTACTAAAACCATTTGTTTCACAAAATCTACCTAATTTCGCTTGCACATGGGTCAATACGGAAATACTTGCATTCATGCTTTGAGAAGTGCAAGTTTAGCAAAGCATCTATGTTATACCACGGAAAGCATGCAGTCTTGAAGTTTCCTTTTCGAACACGCCTGGGTCATTAGTAGACTGTGCGTCAACGACAAAATCAAGCCTCTCAATGGACGCGGTCCTGCCCTCACTGATGTGTTGAAGCCGTGAGTCATGACTACGTTGTTTGAGTCATCAGAGCATTCATCGAAGATTTCTTTAATGTCAGGCCAATAGAGATGTTTTACCCGATATCAGTGATTTTGACCTCAAAATGTCAATATCGAATTTGGCCTCTTTATCAACATAGTCCACTACGATCTAGTCACATGGGCCATTTGTAACCCCACGATCCAGTCACATGGGCCATTTGTAACCCCACGATCAAGTCACATGGGCCATTTGTATCCCCTGGATTTAGTCACATGGGCCATTTGTAACCCCACGATCCAGTCACATGGGCCATTTGTATCCCCTGGATTTAGTCACATGGGCCATTTGTAACCCCACGATCCAGTCACATGGGCCATTTGTATCCCCTGGATTTAGTCACATGGGCCATTTGTAACCCCTGGATTTAGTCACATGGGCCATTTGTATCCCTGGATTTAGTCACATGGGCCATTTGTAACTTCCCACGATCCAGTCACATGGGCCATTTGTATCCCTGGATTTAGTCACATGGGCCATTTGTATCCCTGGATTTAGTCACATGGGCCATTTGTATCCCTGGATTTAGTCACATGGGCCATTTGTATCCCCACGATCCAGTCACATGGGCCATTTGTAACCCCACGATCAGTCATGGGCCATTTGTATCCCTGGATTTAGTCACATGGGCCATTTGTATCCCCTGGATTTAGTCACATGGGCCATTTGTATCCCCACGATCCAGTCACATGGGCCATTTGTATCCCCTGGATTTAGTCACATGGGCCATTTGTAACCCCACGATCCAGTCACATGGGCCATTTGTATCCCCTGGATTTAGTCACATGGGCCATTTGTATCCCTGGATTTAGTCACATGGGCCATTTGTAACCCCACGATCCAGTCACATGGGCCATTTGTATCCCCTGGATTTAGTCACATGGGCCATTTGTATCCCCTGGATTTAGTCACATGGGCCATTTGTATCCCCTGGATTTAGTCACATGGGCCATTTGTAACCCCACGATCCAGTCACATGGGCCATTTGTATCCCCTGGATTTAGTCACATGGGCCATTTGTATCCCCTGGATTTAGTCACATGGGCCATTTGTATCCCCACGATCCAGTCACATGGGCCATTTGTATCCCCTGGATTTAGTCACATGGGCCATTTGTATCCCCTGGATTTAGTCACATGGGCCATTTGTATCCCCTGGATTTAGTCACATGGGCCATTTGTAACCCCACGATCCAGTCACATGGGCCATTTGTATCCCCTGGATTTAGTCACATGGGCCATTTGTATCCCCACGATCCAGTCACATGGGCCATTTGTATCCCCACGATCCAGTCACATGGGCCATTTGTATCCCCTGGATTTAGTCACATGGGCCATTTGTATCCCCACGATCCAGTCACATGGGCCATTTGTAACCCCACGATCCAGTCACATGGGCCATTTGTAACCCCTGGATTTAGTCACATGGGCCATTTGTATCCCCTGAATATAGTCACATGGGCCATTTGTATCCCCTGGATTTAGTCACATGGGCCATTTGTATCCCCTGGATTTAGTCACATGGGCCATTTGTATCCCCTGGATATAGTCACATGGGCCATTTGTATCCCCTGGATTTAGTCACATGGGCCATTTGTATCCCCTGGATTTAGTCACATGGGCCATTTGTATCCCCACGATCAGTCACATGGGCCATTTGTATCCCCTGGATTTAGTCACATGGGCCATTTGTATCCCTGGATTTAGTCACATGGGCCATTTGTAACCCCACGATCCACATGGGCCATTTGTATCCCCTGGATTTAGTCACATGGGCCATTTGTATCCCCTGGATTTAGTCACATGGGCCATTTGTAACCCCCTACGATCCAGTCACATGGGCCATTTGTATCCCCTGGATTTAGTCACATGGGCCATTTGTAACCCTGGATTTAGTCACATGGGCCATTTGTATCCCCGGATCAGTCACATGGGCCATTTGTATCCCCTGTTTAGTCCATGGGCCATTTGTAACCCCACGATCCAGTCACATGGGCCATTTGTAACCCCTGTAGTCCCATGGGCCATTTGTATCCCTGGATCACATGGGCCATTTGTATCCCCTGGATTTAGTCACATGGGCCATTTGTAACCCCACGATCCAGTCACATGGGCCATTTGTAACCCCCTGGATTTAGTCACATGGGCCATTTGTATCCCCTGGATTTAGTCATGGGCCATTTGTAACCCGATCCAGTCACATGGGCCATTTGTATCACATGGATTTAGTCATGGGCCATTTGTATCCCCTGAATGGGCCATTTGTATCCCTGGATTTAGTCACATGGGCCATTTGTATCCCCTGGATTTAGTCACATGGGCCATTTGATCCAGTCCCATGGGCCATTTAGTCATCAGTGGGCCATTTGTATCCCCCTGGATTTAGTCACATGGGCCATTTGTATCCCTGAATATAGTCACATGGGCCATTTGTATCCCCTGGATTTAGTCACATGGGCCATTTGTATGGGGCCATTTGTATCCCCTGGATTTAGTCACATGGGCCATTTGTATCCCCTGGATTTAGTCACATGGGCCATTTGTAACCCCACGATCCAGTCACATGGGCCATTTGTATCCCCTGGATTTAGTCACATGGGCCATTTGTATCCCCTGGATTTAGTCACATGGGCCATTTGTAACCCCACGATCCAGTCACATGGGCCATTTGTATCCCCTGGATTTAGTCACATGGGCCATTTGTATCCCCTGGATTTAGTCACATGGGCCATTTGTATCCCCTGGATTTAGTCACATGGGCCATTTGTAACCCCTGGATTTAGTCACATGGGCCATTTGTATCCCCTGGATTTAGTCACATGGGCCATTTGTAACCCCTGGATTTAGTCACATGGGCCATTTGTATCCCCTGGATTGAGTCACATGGGCCATTTGTATCCCCTGGATTTAGTCACATGGGCCATTTGTAACCCCACGATCCAGTCACATGGGCCATTTGTAACCCCTGGATTTAGTCACATGGGCCATTTGTATCCCCTGGATTTAGTCACATGGGCCATTTGTATCCCCTGGATTTAGTCACATGGGCCATTTGTAACCCCACGATCCAGTCACATGGGCCATTTGTAACCCCTGGATTTAGTCACATGGGCCATTTGTATCCCCTGGATTTAGTCACATGGGCCATTTGTAACCCCACGATCCAGTCACATGGGCCATTTGTATCCCCTGGATTTAGTCACATGGGCCATTTGTATCCCCTGAATATAATCACATGGGCCATTTGTAACCCCATGATCTAATCACATGGGCCATTTGTATCCCCTGGATTTAGTCACATGGGCCATTTGTAACCCCTGAATATAGTCACCAACTCCCTTTGGTCATACCATTTCAATGTACCCAAAGCTACATGGATCAGCTCACTGTCTTGACGATCCCACGACCCCTAAGGTTTTTGTCATGGTATATATTCTATTCATAAGAACATGTATTTAGTATTTCTGTATTTAACAGTCTGTATGCTTTGTAACGTTGTAAAATATAACGTCCATACGATTTATAAAATCCTTAAGAATTCTTTGCTAAAAGCTGGGTCGATTGACTTTATCATACGATATTTACCATTTGTACCCACTGGATCTCCCTGTGGGCATATGAGGGGCGGTGGGGTAGCCTAGTGGTTACAGCGTTCGCTCGTCACGCCGAAGACCCGGGTTCGATTCCTCACATGGGTATAGTATATGAAGCCCATTTCTGGTGTCCCCCGCCGTGATATAGCTGGAATATTGCTAAAAGCGGCGTAAAACTAAACTCACTCACTCACCCTGTGGGCATATCATTTCGATTTGCCCAAAACAATACGGATCAGCTTACGGCCTTGACGATTCCTATGATCAATAACTATTTTGTCATGGTATATATTTTGTTCATAATTATAATAATGTATAATAATAAGTTATTATCTATTAAGGATGACATTTTTCATGTATGTTTTGTAACGTTGTAAAATGAAGGGGCCAAACCCTTTCTAAATCCATAAGAAATCATTGCTACAAGACGAGTCGATTGTGTTGACTATATTACGAGTGTTTCTTTGTTTCTTTGTTTGTTTAACGCCCCAGTCAGCAATATTACATATTTATGACGTCGGTCTGTAAATAATTGAGTCTGGATCAGACAATCCGGTGACAAATCCGGCGTGATGAGGTACGATGACGGAGCGTGTATGTATAAATCACCATCAAAGAGTGATGGTACCATGAGTTCGCGAAAATGTGAACAGACAGGGGTGACTGTTAGTAAATGTAACGTCAGACAGCCATTAATCTATTCGGTGTATACCTTGCACGTAACGTACACATTATTCGCACATGTTCTTACGAGTGTCTGTGGGTCGTTGTTGTAATCGTTGTTTACCTAGAACTGACTTCTGTCGAATTGACATATTTCAAGTCAATGTGTGGTTGATATAAAGTGGTGCTTTCTACAATAATAGTACGTCAGTGGATGAAGTAGTTAATGGTTTCACAACTACGGAACAAGGTTAGTATGCTAGTATTATGTATGCCTAGGTTGTTTCCACTACGGTCAGCTTTTTCCCAACCAACTGCATCCGACATGATTCATGATCTGGCTTAGACATAATGGAGTGAGCGCGAGTCATCCGAGATCTATGGCATGACAATTAACACTTTGGTTAAACTGTATGTATAATTGTGACACACCACGAAACATGATCGATACAATCGATATTCGATCCCGTGTGCATTGCATCTGTCACACCTAAGGAATGCGCTTCGAACAATCTCAGACTAAAAATCAAATCATCAAATGTAGGGCATTTCATGTCAAACAAAAGTGAAGTAATACGAATTATCCCTGGAGTTTAAACTATATTTATGGTTGATAAGAGAAAAGTCATTGTGCTTCTGTGGTCTGTTGGACCGCCTCCGTGGTGTAGTGGTTAGAGCGTCCGCCCGGAGAGCGGAAGGTCGCGGGTTCGATCCCCGACCGCGTTATACCAAAAGACGTTAAAATATGGTACTTGTTGGTCCCTGTCTGGCGCTCGGCATTAATGGGTACAACAAGGACTGGTCGGCTCGGAGTCAGCATACTGTGTCTGAGTGGGGTATTCATGCTTCACTGCGGCATGGTATCTCAGTGGGCTAGCACTATAAAACCAGCTTCAGTCTGGGCTAGTACAAGCAGCCGCACATACACATACACACGCATGCACGTCGTCATATGAGCGAAATATTCTCAAGCACGACGTTAAACCCAGTTTCACCTCACCTCACCTGTGGTCTGTTGGGTGTGACTAGTTTGCACAATATTGAAAAATGAGGTTTCTTGTCAACATTATCATATCCAGCATCTGTCCTGCCCTTATGTGTTTTACGACCTCTCATGTTATTGCATAAATTTATGTGAGTGTTTGAATGGTAAGTTGAGTATTTGACTGTTGTTTTACATCGCTGTTCAACTACATCAATACAAAACGCATCATGAAAAGTAATACCATTATAGACCTTTCATGTCTTTTTGAACTCGTGCATCAGTTGCATATATTACATGAAATGTTCACGTGTAGACCTTGATGCCAATAAATATCCGTCTCAAGGAATTCATACGCAAGCCCCTATACATATTCATAAACGAACACGCCTACACATCACAAACTAAAACGTACATCTATTCAATGCAACGTTTTAAAGCTTTACTTGCATGAGACAAAGGAAAAACTATTTCAAACTTAGTGCAGATTATTTATTTCGGCACATAACGTTACAGGCCACACCGTGGGTAACATATTCTTGGGTACGAGTTTAGCATGGTGGTATTACTGCTTTCATAAGTGAGCCAAGTGCCCCGTCAGTCTTCATGGTTCTTGTGTGCTTATTGGCTGGAGGGGATGCCACTTCATCGATGGTTGCCTTGTCCGTTTCAGACGTCACCATCACCACATACACCTCAGCCTTCGCGTGCAAGTCAGCAATGTTTTTTGAAACATCTCCTCCTTTACTGGTTTTGCCGTCGGTGAAGATAACTACAAAGTTCTTAGCATCATTCCGATCGCCGTTGGTCTCAGTAAAGATTTCTGAAGTAGCCAGTTTGATGGCATCACCTAGAAATGTGCCACCACCTTTTGCTCTCTGGGAACTGATGGCCGTTTGAACGTTAGTTTTGTTTTCATATGTATTCAAATAGAACCCAACCTTTGCCGAGGACGAAAACGTCATGAAAGCAACATGGTGACGCTCTTTACTTATATCAGTACCATTTACGAAATTCTGGACGAAAGTTTTCATCTCCTCGTAATCCTTCTCCACTACTGACGTAGAAACATCCTCGATGATCAGGAGGTCAATAGGACCGAGGTCACATTCTGCAACAAACAGTTTAATCTCTAAACAAAAAACGGTTTACCTGTGATTAATGTAAAAAGACTCAGTCTTAACAAGGTCATTACACGACATAAAAATTGTTTTCAAAGCTCCCGGAGGCTCTTCGTACTCAATGGACATTCCATTGTAACGGGCGGTGGGGTAGCCTAGTGGTTAAAGCGTTGGCTCGTCACGCCGAAGGCCCGGGTTCGATTCCCCCATGGGCACAATGTGTTAAGCCCATTTCTGGTGTCCCCCGCCGTGATATTGCTGGAATATTGCTAAAAGCGGCGTAAAACTAAACTCAGTCAGTCAGTCAGTCCATTGTAACAATTATGACACAACATATAACTTAGAATAAATATGTAGGCATCAGCTTTAAACTGGGTGACATCTTATTTGATTCTGTCTGAACGGACATTCAAATGCAATAATATCAATACAAAACACTACTTTTGAATAAATGGCATTCCGTCTGAAAAGACGGATTTCAGCAATTCTAGTTATTGATATTGGCATGGATATTACCGAAACAATAGGTTCCATCGTAGAATGAAGAGAATATTCCGTACGCCATTCTGTCTCCACACTTCCTGGTCATTAACATTTGGGGGCTGGCACAAGTCGTGTAGTCAAAGGCTACGCATATGATTTCCATTTGGCCCACCTTTCCTGCAATGACAATGAGTGAGTGAGTTAAAATTTAAAGTCACTTTGGCAATATTTCAGCCATATCGTGACTAGAACACTTAATACTTTAGAATTCTAATTTATAAAAATCCGTCATCAAAGTACAGTAAAACAACTAGGATATCACAGTAAGAGATTTATAACTATGCAATGGCAATGAGCTATAATCTAGGAATGAATATATTTTATTATGTAAACGTTTGTCATGAAATAAGGCTACTATTCTCAACATCAGACACTGTGTCAATGACAGCTATTTTACTAACCATGTAAAGTAATATTACTACCTATCAAGTATTACTTCATAATATTCTTCAAAAAGCTATGGAGATAACTTGCCGATAGCGGTAACCGTAGTTTACGGTGTACCATAACGTAGTGGTATACACCAGATGTGGTTATGAGTTACGTCCCTTATGTCCATTGCCGAATGGCTCTGGTTGTACAAACCTAAGCTCCAAATGGGCCATTCGGAACCACACTGACTGTGGTCTAGTGGACGACTGGGCATGGTCATTCCTTCGGGTACGGTATACCATCCCCTTGTTAAACTGTTGTCAGTATACCCTTGGTCATTCGGCTTGTTAGGTTGTCGCGTTTCCATAGATGGTAAAGGCACTGAGTTACTGCAAGGATCTTAAATGAAAATGTATGCATTAGTTGGTAGGGATGCCACGATACATCGATGCATCGATACTAAGACGATACAATTATCGATACATTCAAAACTGTATCGGTATTTAGTTTTGAAAGCATCTGTTAAAATATGTGTATGTATCGTTTACATTTTGCAATTGTATCATGTTTTTTGATGTTATGAGAGTTATAAAGGATTATATTTTTCATGCACAAAGATGGGAAATTAGAACTCTTTAATCACTCAGAATAAAAAATGTTTATCTTTTCATGTCTTTTCATGGACAATTATAAAATATGAAATATTAACTAAATTTACTCAATAACTCCACGAAAATAGGTATCGTGATCTCAAATTGTGACATGGGAATCGTCGAAATATTCCTTGGAATACCGAGGGAATCAAATAAATGAATACGTTTGAAGTTTTATATTGCACCAGTGATGAAAATATGAATAGGAGCATTGCGATGAATTCATGTTCTGTTGTTTGTTTTCCATTGTTTACACACTGTCACTCCTCATTTCTCTGATAACATATAATGCATTTCTCTCAAAAATCGGGGAAGGTACCATAAAATTTATCCCAAAAATACTTACGTGTTAAGATTACAATTAAACAGTTCGAATGAATTAATGCAACGTTGCATTAAATCGACTGTAGAGGCCGAACATTATTTCAAGCGAACCCTTTAGAGTTATGTCCCTTGGAGCGCTCTTTACGAATATCCTACGCACAACTTGTGATTGAAACCAGTTTGGCAAACACCGACAACACTGAGTGCGACAGTTTCCGATGTAGGAAACAATCGTTTACATTCCACATGAGGCAAGTATTATCGGTTTAGAATCTATTCGCCTCGGAGTAGCAATTATCGATTTCAGGGAAGTCGTAAGGGATAACAAGTCTTTTATGCATCAATCGGAAGCTAAAATAAGTGCATATCCCCCAATATATATATTTATAGGCCAAACTGACGTCGAAAATGTGTGACATTGTGCCTTTAACATCACATACCTCCTTGACACGTGGGCCCCGAATGTCCAC